CCTTGTCTCCTCCTCCCATGCTCATCTCCAGGACTTCTCCAGAGCTTCCCCCATCCTCTGGAACTCTCTACCCCAATTTATCATACTATCGCCTACTCTGCTCACTTTTAGGTGATCTCTGAAAATCTATCTCTTCAGGGAAGCCTATCCCGCCCTCAGCTAATAATGGAATCTTCTACTCTTCCAACCAGTCCATCAACCACAGTTACTACCTTTTGTACTACTAGCCCCTCCCTCCTAAATTGTAAGCTCCAAGTAGCAGGGCCCTCCTTTCCCTCTTGTATTGAACTGTATTGTTGCTGTATTGTCTCCCATTATATTGTAAAGCGCTGAGAAAACTGTTGGCGCTATATAAATCCTGTATAATAATAATAATAATACTGTCATACACTGGATTTCACCTACTGCCTCCTTTCTGCCCCTCCTCCAGCACTCTGCACCTCTAAGAAGATCTCACCTCTCAGATAGCCCCTTGCTCTGGCGGCTCTCTGCTTCCTCCTCCCTGCACTCTGCAATACTGCGGCTGTAACAGGATCTCTCCTCCTGATCCAGCCATGTGCTCCAGCGGCTAGTGGCTCTCTGCCCACCTCCTTCGACCACCCTTTGCACTTTGTGTCTCTGTAGCTGTAGGATCTCATCTCCCAATGCAAGCCACTTGCTCCTGCTCTGTGCTCAGCGCTGTCACAGAAAGCTGCCACCTCCTTCTTCTGCTCCCGCCCTCTGCACTACTCCTGGCCCCACCCTCTGACTTTATAGGGGCTGGAACTATAGAGAAGGCATCGGGTATCAATGTGCACTGACACTACTGACTGTCAGTGTGCATTGCGAACAATACTGGAAACAAGATTAGATGGTATACATCACCATAATGTTGTTTCACGGTGGAACCCCTGGGGACTTCTTGCGGAACCCCGGTTTAGAAACACACTGCTCTAGAATAATGTAAAGCAACCTAAAGTTAAAAAAACTTAAACTGCCACTTGCATCCAACAGTAGGCACCTTCAAGTGCCCCAAATCCCAGTGTGCTATTCACACATCAACCCAGCTTTCATAATCTAGGGCCTTGCCCTGCCCTGCCCCCATCTTCTATGCCACACTAATAGCAAGTGAAATCTTTCTGATGGCCAGTTGTGAGACTCAGGTATATGGAGTGGGTACAACCAGATTCTCATTTAGGGAAACTGGGTCAATAGTTACATATCATAGTATCCAGTTTTCAGGATATTCAACCTAGGAAATGGGGTAACTACCCTAAATAAAAGTTTCTAAAGCTGAAGCCCAAGCACACAGCCTGTTACCTGCAAAAGGATATTTGTAGCATTTATTGAGACCTAGGAACCCCAATTAGGCAGCACAACTTGGTCAAGAACACACCTCAAATCGGATGACTACACAGTTATGGGCAACAGCACAGTAATAATCTGTTTCTTTTGCTAGTCTGCACTCTCCCCTCCTGTCAGCATGTTTATTTCCTCTTTCAGTCTGAGTTCTACTTTGCAGCGATATACGGGAGGCAGCTACCCAGATAAATTAAGGTACTAGCTGCAGTCAAAAATACATCTAAAGAGTTTAATGAATACATTACAACAATTATTTGTGTAACTTCTGCCAGAAATTCAGCTTTAATCTGACCAAAAATCAAAACATATATGGGTATCTTTTATGTCCCAAGGCCTTAGGAAATGTAGTGTAAAATGCTAACTTCAAATATGAATGGAAGAATGTGAACATAGATGATCTATAAGCGTTCCAAAAAAACCGCTCCAAAAAAGGTGTATGCATTTTTTTTTTATATACTCAACACTTTGCGGTGTATTTATTAATGATTAGCTGGTGAAATTACCTAATAATAAATAGCAAAGCAATTTCTGGCAATATTTGGCCTATGTAACATATGACATTCACTGGGTAAATCTTATTAGTTCAATTCCTGCCAGGACAAATCTTCATAGATTCAATAGCAGCTATTTTCACCTTTGAAGGAATCGTTGTGGGAATGTTTTGAGCACATATTTCTAAATAACATGACAGTCCTTTCACTTTTGTTGCCGACATGCTTCCTCTGGTGTTTATATAAGGTTTCAGCTCTAGGAGGATTTATATAATTTTGTTAAATAAAAAATATTTTTAAAAACCAACTACTAGCACCTGAGCCACCTTTTCCTGCAAGCCAGGCATGCTGATTTGTACCCCTATAGCAACGGAGCTATGAGCGTGCAGCTACCTTTCTATGTGCATTCCAGCCCGAATGCCTTTCTGCATTGGGCGGGCTTTTAGGAGGGTTTCCTCAAATATTCATAGTCCCTCCCTAAGCACCTCAGCCTGATGCTGACTGGCATTGTGTTTTGTTAGCACCCTCAATGCCCAGAAAAGGGTGCTGGCAACTGGGTCTCATGTTCCACCTACCTGTACCCCCATGGGGAGAAAGTAGGTGTTCACCTCCTCCCAGGTGAATGGTTTTAGGGATCCCCTGGACCTCTAAATAATCCACTGATGTGTGCAGCTAAGAGAAAAATTTAAACATCACACAGAAAAAGTACTCTGTTATTGATTTTTTTTCAAAAATGTTAACTTTTCCATGTTACATTGAAGTCCAAAGGTGGACCTTCAGCAATGGCAAGAGTTTTGGGGAGCATGGTATCAACTTGTCACTCGCTTGCTATGGGGATACCTAGGAAAGGGAGGGGGATGCTGTTTTATTTTATAATTTTTTTTTTATTCATTCCTATATTCTGTTTTTTTACAGAAAAACATACCCCAAAAATGACCCATGGAAGTGCTGGAAAGACCCATGGAAAGCTTTAAAGAAAGCTTTAAAAATACACATTTCAAACCAGGGAATGGTTTGAATACTAGGCAAGGCAAAAATGGGTGAATGTTGGATGAATTTCAGAATAAATCTACTTTCCCTGAGTGAATCCCCTTTTAAAAAAAAAAATGTTCATCAATAAATTTTTTATTGAGGTTTCAAGGCAAGGTCAAAAAACAGTCAACTTTACAAAGATACAATTATACTTAGTAGAGCTCTCAGTTACAAAATGCAGCCAGTTGTTCCTTAATATTCAATAATACCAAGAAACAGAGATACAGTAAGTGTTCATAGCTTATCTGTTAAACCTTTTATCAATACGTGCAATAATCATGTTAAACTGATATATAGTTTCATTCAGAACCAACAATTAGCTATAAAACCAGTACAAATTGAAACATATATATGTTTGATTTGGATCATAGGGGCCAGGTCCTTGGCCAGCCTAAGAGGGCTCATAGTACAATCTATGATTCTAGGAGCTTATAATCAGCCAATCCATAGAATAGCTGCTATAAATTCAGTATGAATTACTGGATATCATTTACCAACCCAATTAAATTAGAAAAACCGTTCCTTGAGAAACCAACAAATAATGACAGAAGAAAGCATAGAAAAGGGAAAAAGAAAACTAGAAAGAGGAGGAAGAGAGAAGTGTGATAGCAGGAAAGTCAGTGAATTGGTGTGTTTACTCTCATAAATAAGACATTAATAACAGCTGAGCTGATGCTAAGGATGCAGACCGTGTCTCGGTAACCATTTTCTCATATTCTCGTATTCTGTGGAATGTCGAAAGATGGTCCAGGCAGACCATGTCTTATGAAATTTATCAGTAGATTCCTGTGCAAGTCCAACCAATTCCTTCATATAAAATATGTTTTCTATTAAATTAAGCCATTCTTTGATGGAGGGAGGTTTTGAGGATTTCCAATGTCGTGGGATCAGAGTCTTAGCTGCAGTCAGAAGGAACTTGGTAAGTGAGCGTTTGTATTTCTTCATGGAACAATTAGAGATGTGAAGCAAACAGCAAAGTGGAGTCAACCTGTTGCTAAGAAGTTACTATCAAGGGACAGTCCCACCATATGTGTATTAGAGACCCTGTCACTTGATTACGCCAGCAAATATCTGAGGACTGTGGGAACCATTTCTTCAATTTAACAGGTGTTGCGTCCCATTGTGAAAGAAGCTTATACGAAGTCTCCTGAAACCGAGTACTAATGGAACACTTATGTGCAAAGACACATGCGTGTTTCCATTGGTCATCTGTATATGTAGTATGAAAAACTGTTTTCCAGTATGTCCTGAATCGGACCGGGTCCTCACTTTGTGTAGATTGAAGTCAGGTATACGTCATTGAAATTGATTTTTTGGTGGGCTTTCCTTTGATGCAAATAGATTCAAAAGGTGTTAAAGGTCCTAGGAATGAATTCTTGTTTACTGTGGTGTGGTGTGGATGTAACTATGTATTTGACGGTATGTCCAGTTTGTCATGTTCGCTGGTTTTATCAATTTTGTTAAATTTTCAAAAGAGTGTAATTTACCCTTTGTCAAGCACTGATAGACCTCTAAGTGTGTTTTCATCTTGTAGTTTTAAATTAGCTGAAGAAGACATCCCAGGTAGAAAATCTGGGTTAAGTCCCAATGGAGTCAAAGGACCAGGGGAAGAGGATAAAATATTATCTTTAGCTAGAGCACTAAATATTTTTTGAGAGTCGTTCCTATCATTAGATGTTTTTTTTAAGTTAGTTGGGCAAAGTTATAATGGTATCCATGGGGCAAATTTTACTGGGAAAGGGTCAAAATCCACTTCTAGCAATACCCAATCCTTATGTTTTGCATGACAGCGCCAATCTAGGATTCGTGTCAGCTGGGAGGCATAATAGTAATTTTTAAAATTTGGAAATCCTATCCCTTCACTTTGTTTACATTGTGTAAGTAGATGAAGATTTATTTTGTTTTTTTCCCGTTTATAAAATTTTTTACATTGGTGAATCCTGTTTGCTGCTATTTTTTATGTCAGTTGGTTTTATTATAAACACATTTAAGGGTAAATTTGCTGTTGTGTTATGCCCAGGACTACAGTTACAGTATTTGCCCTTACCAAACATAATGTTCAAAATTTCCTGTTTGGTGACCAATATTATAAAATAGCGTTGTTTAAAATAGTTAGCTGTATTTTGTTAGTCTTACCTTATCATTGATGAGAAGTTCCATGGGGTTGTGACCCCACTCCAGCAGTACAATCTCATTGGGTTGACCATGGACAGAATAAGAGAAAGGAGTGCCTGACCCTGAGGTTGTCTTGGATTTTAGCCACAGGCATATAGTGAAAGCATAGAGCTCTGGAAGAGTCTTTTTCATTCGTCCATACATATAGTTGGTACGTACTGAAAAGCTAAGCTTGAAGTTCTCTGGATGATAACCAGGGTAACCTAAAGTAAAATAAAGCAAACATACGTATATTTTAAAGATTAAAACTATGTTAGTTAAAGTGTCCCTGTTGCTAGCTAGCAGACATGAGACTAGCATAATCCTGTAAAAGGTAAAGGTTTATACTTGCCTATTCAGCAGATGATGTGTTAAAGTGGTTCTAAAACCTTAACTTTTTTCACCTTAATGCATTCCCTGCATTAAGATAGAAAATGTTTAGGCATTAGTATCACCTCCTCACCTCCCTCCCCCCATATACTTACCTGAGCCTTTACTCGATCCGGTGTTGTGCCCATCTGTAGCACCTCTCCCCACTCTCACAGGCTTTGCTGAGGCAGAGGGAGTTATTGGCTCCCACTGCTGTCAGTCAAATCCTGTGACTGGGGAGCGGGGACACAGGCAGGGCTGCTCAGGACTGAGCTCCCAGGTGTACCGCCATAAGAAGCAGTTTCCTATGGTGGCACACTGAGAAGAGAAGGAGCCAGGAGTTTCTGGCAGAGGACCCATGAAGATGAGGATCGGGACCACTCTGCAATTCTATTGCACAGAGCAGCTAAGTATAACATGTTTGCTATATATATATATATATATATATATACAGTCATGGCCGAAATTGTTGGCACCCTTGATATTTTTCCTGAAAATCAAGTATTTCACACAAAAAAGGTATTGCATTAACACATGTTTTGCTATACACATGTTTATTCCCTTTGTATGTATTGGAACAAATATAAAACAGAGGCAGAAAAGCAAATATGACATAATGTCACACAAAACCCCAAAAATGGGCTGGACAAAAGTATTGGCACCCTTAACTTAATATTTGGTTGCACACCCTTTGGAAAACATAACTGAAATCAGTCGCTTCCTATAACCATCAATAAGCTTCTGACACTCTCACCCGGAATTTTGGACCACTCTTCCCTTTGCAAACAGCTCCAGGTCTCTCTTATTGGAAGGACACCTTTTCCCAACAGCAATTTTAAGATCTCTCCACAGGTGTTCAATGGGATTTAGATCTGGGCTCATTGCTGGCCACTTCAGAACTCTCCAGCGCTTCTTTGCCATCCATTTCTGAGTGCTTTTTGACGTATGTTTGGGGTCATTGTCCTGCTGGAAGACCAGGATCTTGGACGCAAACCCAGCTTTCTGACACTGGGCCCTACAGTGCGACCCAAAATCCTTTGGTAATCCTCAGATTTCATGATGCCTTGCACACAGTCAAGGCACCCAGTGCCAGGGCAGAAAACAACCCCAAAACATCATTGAACCTCCACCATATTTTACCGTAGGTACTGTGTTTTGTTCTTTGTAGGCCTCATTCCCACGTTTTCGGTAAACAGTAGAATGATGTGCTTTACCGAAAAAGCTCTATCTTGGTCTCATCTGTCCACAAGACGTTTTCCCAGAAGGCTTTTGGCTTACTCAAGTACATTTTGGCAAACTGTAGTCTTGCTTTTTTATGTCTCTGTGTCAGCAGTGGGGTCCTCCTGGGTCTCCTGCCATAGCGTTTCATTTCATTTAAATGTCGACGGATAGTTCGCGCTGACACTGATGCTCCCTGAGCCTGCAGGACAGCTTGAATGTCTTTGGAACATGTTTGGGGCTGCTTATCCACCATCCGGACTATTCTGCGTTGCAATCTTTCATCAATTTTCCTCATCCGTCCACGACCAGGGAGATTAGCTACAGTGCCATGGGTTGCAAACTTCTTGATAATGTTGCGCACTGTGGACAAAGGCAAATCTAGTTCTCTGGAGATGGACTTGTAACCTTGAGATTGTTGATATTTTGCCACAATTTTTGGTTCTCAGGTCCTCAGACAGTTTCGTCTCCTCTTTCTGTTGTCCATGCTTAGTGTGGCACAGACAGACACACAATGCAAAGGTTTAAGAGTGAACGTCTCTCCTTTTTATCTGCTTTCAGGTGTGATTTCTATATTGCCCACACCTGTTACTTGCCCCAGGTGAGTTTACAGGAGCATCACATGCTTGTAACATTCTTATTTATCCGCAGTTGTGAAAGGGTGCCAATACTTTTGTCCAGCCCATTTTTGGAGGTTTGTGTGACATTATGTCGAATTTGCTTTCTTTCCTCCCTTTTTTTTTTTTGTCCCAATACACACAAAGGGAATAAACATGTGTGTATAGCAAAACATGTGTTAATGCAATACGTTTCGTGAGAAATACATGATTTCCTGGAGAAATATCAAGGGTGCCAACAATTTATCGGCCATGACTGTATATATATATATATATATATATATATATATATATATATATATATACACAGTGGGGATCGAAAGTTTGGGCACCCAGCTAAAAATTTGTATTAATGTGCATAAAGAAGCCAAGGAGGAAAGATGGAAAAAATCTCCAAAAGGCATCAAATTACAGATTAGACATTCTTATAATATGTCAACAAAAGTTAGATTTTATTTCCATCATTTACACTTTCAAAATAACAGAAAACAAAAAAAATGGCGTCTGCAAAAGTTTGGGCACCCTGCAGAGTTGATATCTTGTACTGCCCCCTTTGGCAAGTATCACAGCTTGTAAACGCTTTTTGTAGCCAGCCAAGAGTCTTTCAATTCTTGTTTGAGGTATATTTGCCCATTCTTCCTTACAAAAGTCTTCCCGTTCTTTGAGATTTCTGGGCTGTCTGTCACGCACTGCTCTTTTAAGGTCTATCCATAGATTTTCAATTATGTTGAGGTCAGGAGATTGTGAAGGCCATGGCAAAACCTTCAGTTTATGCCTCTTGATGTAATCCCCTGTGGATTTCAAGGTGTGTTTAGGATCATTATCCATTTGTAGAAGCCATCCTCTCTTTAACTTCAGCTTTTTTTCACAGATGGCATCAAGTTACCATCCAAAATTTGCTGAAATTTTATTGAATCCATTTTTCCTTCTACTCGTGAGATGTTCCCTGTGCCACTGGCTGCAACACAATCCCAAAGCATGATTGATCCAACCCCATGCTTAACAGTTGGACAGAGGTTCTTTTCATTAAATTCTGTGCCCCTTCTTCTCCAAACGTACCGTTGCTCATTCCAGCCAAAAAGTTCACTTTTAACCTCATCGGTCCACAGAACTTGTTTCCAAAATGCATCAGGCTTGTCTATATGTTCATTTGCAAAGTTCAAACGATGAATTTTGTGGTGAGGACGTAGAAGAGGTTTTCTTCTGATGACTCTTCCATGAAGACCATATTTGTACAAGTATCTCTTTATAGTGGAATAGTGTACCACAACTCCAGTGTCTGCCAGATCTTTCTGGAGGGATCGTGCAGTCAAACGTGGGTTTTGAATTGTTTTTCTCACAGTCCTGCGAGCTGTTCTGTCTGATATTTTTCTTGGTCTTCTAGATCTTGCTTTAACTTCCACTGTTCCTGATGACTGCCATTTCTTAATTACATTCCGAACAGAGGATATTGACATCTGAAAACGCTTTGCTATCTTCTTATAGCCTTCTCCAGCTTTGTGAGCGTCAACTATTTTCAGTTTCAGTTTTTCTAGACAACTGCTTAGAAGAACCCATGGTGCTGATTGTTGGGGCAAGGTCAGATGAGTCTGGGCATTTAAAACCTTTGAGATTGACATCACCTGGTTCTCCCAGATGATGATTGAGAACAATCCATGACACTGGCAGGTCTCAGCTTGGCAAAGGGGGCAGTGTATGCTATAAATTCTGCAGGGTGCCCAAACTTTTGCAGACGCCATTTTTTTGTTTTCTGTTACTTTGAAAGTGTAAATGATGGAAATAAAATCTAACTTTTGTTGACATATAAGAATGTCTAATCTGTAATTTGATGCCTTTTGGAGATTTTTCCATCTTTCCTTGGCTTCTTTATGCACATTAATACAAATTTTTAGCTGGGGTGCCCAAACTTTAGATCCCCACTGTATGTATACATATATACATATATATATATATATATATATATATATATATATATAAAAAAAAAATAGATATATATTTCTTTATATTCACTTTAAATCAACTTTCCTCAACCTTTTCAACACAGAGGACCCCTTGAAATAACTTTCTGGTCTCAGGGAACCCCTGCTAAAAATTACTATATCAACAACTCATGATATAGTAGTGTGATGGTCAATGGGAAGAATTCTCCTTACACTTGTGGTTGTTGGGAAGAATTACCCTCTTACAGATAGCTAAAAAGATAAATTGTGTGTGGAAACTTATCTGAGAGACAGAAATTGCTCATTGCTCAAGGAACCCTGAGTTACACATGAGCCTGGTGCTGAATGGTCTTCAGCTATTTCTGTGACTTAACCTGACGTGCTGGTGGTCAACTGATCTGGTTTTTTTAACACCAGATTACACTTTTTTTTGATTTTCTGTTCCATAGTTCCCAACCCAGCACTTGTCTTTTTCCTAACACTGCTGTTGCCTGCATTGGTTCCTGTGCTTACAAATTTTCACAGCCTGACACTGCTACTTCCCATCTGTGCTACTGTCCAATGTCTTGTACTGCTGCTGCCTACCAGCATTCCTGGCCCAGTATCTGTCTCATTGCTGCTGTCTGCCTGTGTTTCTTTTTTTTTTCTTCTTCTTCTTCTTCTTCTTCTTATTAATATTTTATTAAGTTTTACATTTTATCTATTCCATCAATTAAAGTTTCAACATAACTTATTCCAATATTTTACCCAACATACAAAAGATACAAACTCTCCCTCCCCCGCCCCCCACCTCCACCTCTCAGCAACATTTCTCTCTCTTTTGGAATCCTAGGGTATTCATATATTCTTCTATCTTATACAATTTCATTTAGTTTAACCTTCTTGAACCTACTTTTTCCATTTCTCACGAAAACACTCCACTTTATCCTCATCTATATGGTATAGTTCTTCCATCCTATATATCTGGTCTACCTTTTTAATCCAGTCCGATGTTCTTGGTGCTTCCTGTTCCATTCAGAATTTAGTAATCAAACCCTTTGCTGCATTAATATAGTGCAATAACCCAGAATTTTTATACCTTTAAACCGTTAACTCTGTTCCGTGAACGAGACATACCCCTGGCTCCTTTAAAATTTTTATCCCAGTTATTTCTTGTGTCAAGCGAAGTACTTCTTTCCAATATTTTTGGATTTTGTGGCACTCCCACCAAATGTGACCTACTGTGCCCTGTTCCCCACAACCCCTCCAACATAAAGGAGATTTATAACTATTTTATTTATGTACTATGTTTGGTGTCATATGCCACCTCACCAAGCATTTATAATTCATCTCCACCTCTTTTCATGCTCGCATTACCGTGTGTTATCTTGTAAATCTTTTTTTTTGTTTATCCTCCCCTATTTTTATTCCTAATTCTCTTTCTCATCTCTCCATACATGCGGGTACCATATCTGTTGTTAACTTAGTAAGAATTTTATATATTTTCGAAGTTCCATGTTTCCCATATCCCCGTGTACTAAAAAATTTTTTCAAATGGGTTCCATTGTTCTTTTTTCCTTAGGAGCCTAGGAAGTTTTTCTATGAAATGTTTTATTTGTAGATACCGCCACTCATCTACTTTAATGAATAGCTCTCTCTTCTTCAATTCTACTAAGGGGCAAATTTCCACATCTTTCATTAGATCTTTTAATTGAGCATCTTATCCTTATCCATGCTTATCTATCTCCCTGCGATCTTTTCATTCCCCCGGTGGAAAAAAAACCTGTGTTTACAATAGGCATCAAACATAGAGTTAAATTCCCATCCCATCTGTTTGTGCATTGTGTCCCAAGCTCCCAAAGCAATTCTTGTGAATGCACTTGTACATTCTATCACTTCACGAACGTGAGGTGGCAACCATATTATCCTATCCAAATGTGTTTTACTTAAAGTGTTTTCTATATTTATCCAACTTTTTCCCTGTGAGTTATGTGTCCAATCAAAAATTCGTGCTATCAAGACTGCATTATAATATCTTCTAAAATCAGGTACACCTAAACCCCCCCCATTTTCTTTGTCTCTAGTTAGAACTTCATAGCCTATTCTGGGTTATTTCTCTATATGAACTTTAGCATAATTTTTTTATTCTCCTAAAATACAATCCAGGCATCTTGATTGGGATCATCTGGAATTTATATAAAATTTTTGGAACGATTACCGTTTTAATTAAATTTATTCGTCCTAATCCACGATATACCACCTATCCCATGTTTTCTCATTTTAATCTTTAATTTAATTTAATAATGAAATATAATTTACTTTGTATATATTCTTCAAGGAGACTGCTAACTTTATTCCTAAGTATTTTAGTTTCTTTTCCTTCCAAGAGAAAGAAAATTCCCTTTGCAAAGCCTTTCTCTCTCCTCTTTGAAGATTTATATTCAAGATTTCTGTTTTAGTTGGGTACTGGTACTCCTCTTATCCTTAGATTACATCTCCTATCCCTATTTTCTTGTTCCTATTTCCTATATAGCAGCTTTCTTTGTTCTTTTCTCATTTCTATCATCCGCTTTTCTAGTTTCAAAATAATTTGGGGCTGTTCTTCCACTTTTCCCTCTGTTTTTTCCACTCTTCCTATCATTTGCCCCAGGTCTTTCTGTATTATCGCCATCTCTTGTTTTATTGATTTTTCAAGATTTTGAAACATTTCTGCTATTTCTCTTTTGTTTGGCATTTGCAGTTCCTTTTCTTGTTCTATCGCCTCCACTCTTTCTCTCCTTTTTTGACTACTATTAGCCATTTCCAGGGATAGTCTGGGACTTTCTTCCATACTGATTTCCAACACAATCCTTTCATTTAATCCTTGTTGTCTTTCTGGGGTCAGGTTCCCCTGTGTGGGTATATATTTTTTAATTGTACCTGTTTGGGAACTATTGGGTCCACCTCCTTTGGCTATTTTGTTTTTCATGCCGTCATAAATTTGAATCACTTATCCAAACTCTGTGGGGAGGGTTAGTTATTGTACAGTACCAAATATCACTTTAAATTCTCCACCACCAGTCTCTTATTACTTTTTCTTCCTTACTTCTACTCCCCTGGGTAATCTCCCCCTATACATTCACTTTAAGTATAGTTCATTCATTTATTTCACGCAATACATTTCATTGCTCCTTCAGCTCTCACACCCTCCTGCCGTCCTCTCTTCCACATGGGGTGGCTTCCAGGTCTTCCTTTACTGGGCTGTGAGCTTGGTCTCTCCAGCCCCTCTGTCTTTATTGCTCCCTTACTTTTATTTTTAGGGGGAGATTCCCCTGCGGGGTTCCTTTCTTGGGGTTCTGTACTCCAGCTTGTCGGTGGGAGAGCCGGCGTCAACCTCTGCCTGGGAATGCCGGCCGGCTTCTCTTCCTCCCAGTACTCCCTTGCGGGAGGTCACGTGGCCACTTCTCTTACTCTGGGCTCCTAGCAACCTGCTGCCCCGGACAGAAAGCTCCAGCCGTCCCACAGCAGCGGTCCTTAGCCGCCCCGTTCTCCGCTCTCCGACCGACCCACTCCAACACGTCTCCTCATGCTCTGCATGTCCAGCAGGCACCCACTCACAGGTAGGGCTTAACGGGCACCTCTACCTTCATTGCAGGGCTCAATGAGGGACAGGCGGCTGCCTTATGGAGAGCGCGTTACATCGAGCTCTCCCTCACCGCCATGACCAGGCTTCTCCCCTCCTTGTCTGCCTGTGTTTCTGAGCTTGAACTTGTTCACTGCCTAATACTGCTACTGCCCACCTGTGTTCCTCACCTTGCCACTGTCCATTGTTGATGATGGTTTCTTGCTCCTAACCCTGCACCGTTCTCCTCTAGTACTGCTGTTCCCTGCTTGTTGAGCTCAACCTGTGTCATAACTGCACTACTGATACAGTTTGCCAGGCCCCAATGCCCCTTCACTGCTTTCATTATCAGCTTTCACCACTACTAAGGAGACTTGAGAAGCAAGAGAAGCTGTTCTTCCACCAGGTACTTGACACCAATGTTTCTTTTAGATTTTCCTGTGACTCTCCACTAGTTTCAACTCTGACAGAAATTCCTACCTTGAGCCTGGGTTCACGTAAATGAGATATATCGCACTGCATTCCTGTGCAAATCACACAATTTGTGTGCGGTGCAATTGGAGCCATACATTTTGTATGGCTCTACTTGCACCGCACCAAAAACGTGCAGGACCCTTTTTTTTTTAGTCCGCACTAGAATCGGATCACATGAGTATTCACACCTATGCGATCCAAAATATCCCCATAAACAATGTATACAATATAACAAGAACAGACTGAGAAAAGAATCTGAACAAAAAAAGATACCAACATACAAAACAAACCTTACATATAACAAAAAGTAAATACGATACAGCAAAAGGTGAACACTCACTTCAACTTTAGTCCGCACTAGAATCGGATCACATGAATCGGATCTTTGTATGTAGAAATCTTTACACAGTTCTAAAAGCATTGTATTATTTTCTTTTTATTAACATAATTACTTTTGAAATTTATAAACACAGTTTTATTTTACATAGCAGCTATGGGAAATTGCTGAAATAAGGCCATTTTTCACACCATATTCTGAACATATGTCATATTTCAGTTTGTTTGACATCCTTTCTGTGCTTGATTTGAGGTTGTGTTTGCATTTGTGTCTTCGGCATTTCTAAAACAACCTAATGAAATAGAATTGCATTTTTGCTCTTGTGATGCTTTGAATAGAATATGTTTACTTAATATACAGTTTTAATTATCATTATTACATGACTTTCACCTTGTTCCAGTTCCGCAATGCGATTCTGCAGGATGCTCAGTTCCTTCTCTATGTCCTGCTTGTCTCTTTCACCTGAAGCCGTTGTTTGCTCCTTCTCTAGTTCTAGAAGTTTGGCTAGAAGTTGAGCCTCTAGCTCAAGCAACTTGGACTGTAGGGAGTCCCGTCCATAAAGAGGTGAAGGTGAAGTGGATGTTGGCGCAGTCAAATTGTGCACTCTCTGTTGGATTTCCAGCTACGAAAGACAGAAAAAAATGGTACAGAGCTAATACAATATACATAATATTGTCAAATCATGTAAATATCAAGAGCATTTTTGTCTGTGGCGCTGGTGCCTAGCTTGCAGCTTGGGGACCACATGCAAACTTTTGCCACATAATGTGCAGCCCTCAGGACTACTGCAAATAGTATTTTGGTTACTTAAAGTGGTAGTAAACTTTGCTTTGTTACTTTTACCTACATGAAGGCTTATAATAAAACTTACGGTACCTATAGGTAAAATTGTTATCTCCTAAACATTAACTTTTTAAGAGATATTCACAAGTTTTGCAAAAGATTCCTTTAATTTGCAGGGATTTTCTCTCACTTTCTATTGTGGCTGTGGGAAAAGAAGTGAAGGGAAATCTCCCCAATGGAAAAAGATGGCAAAAAAAAATTGACAGGGGTTATAACCCTCCCTTACTCGTAATTCAAAATGAAAAAAAAAAGTTTTGACTATTGTTCTACTTTAAGACAGATCTATTCACCCAGGCTTATATCAAAAAAGTAGTCCAAAGGTATGTCATTAATAAGAATTTCAGTTTGCTGTGCATTATTTTATAACATTCTGCAGCCACTTGGATACACTAAAACATAAAAAAAAAAAGTGAACTTAACCCTTTAATGGGAGTAAGGCATTTTATTCAATGATTCTGCTATTAAATTCAGGTGTTAATTTGACCTACTCAGCTATATGAAAGTTACATAATTTTGATTACCCACCCTTAGAAAAAAAATTCTGTTGACATGCAGTATAGTCCAATCAAACTAAATGAACTTACCACTGGGATCTGAAAATACCTATACTGTATATCTGTTCAAGAAAAGCATGTTTTCTGAAATTATTTCTTTTAGAGCAACATGGCTTGAAATACAGACTAAAGCTTGGTAGTAATGGTGTGAGAAGTTTTATGTAGTAGTTTAAGGACTTCTACATAATTAAAAAAGGCAAGAATTTGACCCTTGGCAGATATTAATCTCAAACCAGGGTTGCCAACCACTGACAATTATTACTAACAAGATGTAGAGTATTTACTGATGGAACATTCTTTTTACTGACAGGCTAAAGAACACTGTGTGCACAATTATTAAGTAAGTGAGTATTTTGCCCAGATCATCATTTGTATGCATATTATCCAACTCCAAGCTATATAAACTATTAGGCAGCTTCTTTTCCTCAGGCAAAATGGACCAAAAAAAAAAGATTTAACTGACCCTGAAAAGTCAAAAATTGTAAAAAGTCTTTTAGAGGGATGCAGCACTCTTGAAATTGAAAGATATTGGGGTGTGATCACAGAACCATTAAATGTTTTGTTGCAAATAGTCAACAAGGTCACGAGAAAGAAATGAGTTGAGAAAGAAAGCTGTAAATTAACTGCCAAAGATATGAGAAGAATCAAACATGAAGCTGCCAGGAACCCATTATCCTCCAGTGGTGTCATATTCCAGAACTGCAACCTACCTGGAGTGCCCAGAAGTACAAGGTGTTCAGTGCTCAGGGACATGGCCAAGGTAAGGAAGGCTGAAACCCGACCAACACTGTACAAACAGTTGAAACGTCAAGACTGATCCAAGAAATATCTGAAGACAGATTTTCCAAAGGCCAAAGACCAAGAGCACTGTAGCTGTTCAATAATGAAATTAATTCTCAAAAAAAACAACTTACCTAATAATTGTGCAGACAGTGTATATGCCAAATCAAATGTAGTGGCAGAAGGGGGAAGGGTAACAGGGGGGTAAGGTTAATATACAACATTGGCTAAAGCAATGGGAGGCAGAACAACTACTCCACAGAATTGTCTTCTATCCTCTGCTGGCTGGTCTGTGAAGCTGGAGATTTGCAAGATGTCAGCTGACATTGACTCTGGCTGTGCATGTTGTCTCTTCAGGCTGTGGTGGGGGGTATTTTTATGTAGTATACTCTAGTGTGCATAGTTAGGTAAATTTAGTTTTGGCTCACTAAGTAGCTGAAGTGAGCAAGAATTTGACCCTTGGCAGGGTCAAATTCTGTGGAGTTCAAGCTCAAGTCAGGCCTCTGTCGCCTCTCCCTGGTTCTGGAAGATTCCAGAAACCTCTAGAGGCTAGTGGGTGGAGGTACAGAGGCAGTGATCTGAATATTCATGGGAGTTTGACCAATCCCCAGGCAGGAGGCTGGCATGGTGGTAAGATCTGCCCATAAATATTGAAGAGCCTGGCTGGCAAAGGTTTATTGCTAGCTGCAGAATGGAGTGCTGAGAACCATGGGGCTAGGGACTCTGCTTTCAAGCAGGAGATGAGAAAGGAAGGAAGAAGAAAAGGGTTGATTAGAAGGATCTTCATCACCCTTCAGTCTCATCCAGGAGATGGTCTGTAATGCAAGGGAAGGACTTGAACAGCAGAAGACCTGAACAGCAGTTTTTACCGAGCAGCAGGATTTCAAGGGACAGTGTGAGTACCTCTACCATCGCCACCCAATGCCTATAGCAAAAAGGCAGCCAGGTGCAATACCCAGCTGAGAGGCAGCCAACCTTCACCCCTGCTTGGGATATTCTTGTGCTAATGTGCAAGTGCTGGGATCAGTTTTGGTAGTGCTTTACTAGTCTGTTGAAAGTAATTTCCCTGGGAAACAGAGTCTGGAGCTTGTGCCAAGGCAGTATAGTCACAGTGGTCCTCAATGTTTTTCTACACTTTTCACCCCCCAAAGCCAAGTGTAATATTCAGCTAGCTTACAGAGGGGAAGCATACTGTCATCCTTCATCCTTGCTTGAGGAATTCTTAGTTGAAGCCAGGTGTGCTGCTATTTTCTAGAGGACACAGAGCTCCTGCATACAGTTGGGACTTTGCTATTTTCTACTATGGGGGCATAGAGCTCCTAAAATCATAAAGGATATTCACTACTGATCCATTGGGGACTGACATTACTACAGAGAGAGTACAGTCCAGGATCCATTTTTGCTGCAAGTTGTACATAGAGAAGTTGCTCCATAAGATATTGTTGAACTCACTTTGGGAATCCCATAACCTATTATCCCTATCCAAATGATAATAATAAAACATAAAAACAAGCACAAGAACTGTTTTTCTGACTACGAGTTCCTGCTAAAAATGCATGTTGCCTGGCTGTGCAAACAAAGAGGGACCCAAAATCCTTAGAGGGTAGAGTTACATTTACAATTGCTTGCTCCCATCTGTAAAAGCACGTGGACTGAAGCAAGAGTAAATGAATATTTTTACAAATGATTGCTCCTGTCCACATACTTTTAAGTGTAGAGAATAGCCAGCACTCCAACAATGTTCAGAATGACTGTTTCCTAAAGTCTCATATGAGCAAAACCACAAAGACTCTCTTTCTCAAGGTGACAGACAGAGACACACGTGTTAATTTACTAAAACTGGAGAGTGCAGAATCTGGTGCAGTTGTGTATGGTAGCCAATCAGCTTCTAACTTCAGCTTGTTCAACTAAGCTTTCACACAAAAAAAGGAAGCTGATTGGTGCAGAGTTGCCCCAGATTTAGTAAATCAATCCCACACTTTTTAGGAAGGGAGCAATTAGGCTATTATTTACAAACTGTTCATAAAAATATTCACACTTGGCAACTCTGTGCCTAACTTGTGCCATGGGCATTCAGGTATGCCATGTGAGAGCAAAACTGCTTTTTTTTGGCTAACTGTTCCATTTTTTCACAGATTTCCCCATTTCTTTTATGTCATCTGGATATATCTGGCTAAAACATTCCTAAGAGATTTAAAAGAACTTCAGCTGTTATTGAAGCTTAGAAAACTACAACAGATTACACAATGATTTCTAGAGAGTTGGCCTTTCATTAATCCACAATTAACTTAGATAGTTTAGAAATGGAAATAGCTAAGAAGCATCCGATAAAAACCAATGCAGTGACGCGATGTAGAAGCATGCATGTTTTTTACAATGTTTAAAATCTGGTAATAAGTATTATGTATCATTAATGAGCTTGCATAAGAAATATATAAAGTGTTACTAAACCCAGGACCCTGCATTCACTATATCCGGTCTCCCACAGTACCCAAAACCTGGCAGTGTTGTGACTTCTGTCGGTGTCCAGTTGAACACTGGTTAAAGCTTGTAGGAGTTTTAATTCTCCTCTGAATGTCCAATGAGGCTGCATAACCTCTGACCCTCTGTCTGGATAGTGCTGATTGGCCCTGTGCTGATCCTATGCACTCTCCCAAGCAAGAAAAAAAATACACACCAAACTGAGCATGTACAGCTTGCCCCAAGGCTCTGTACTATTAGCAGATGGATTGGGACAGTAGAAGGGGAGGATCAGAGAAAACAGGATCAAACAGCCTTTTTACACAATAAACCCCTTAGGTTCCACAGCGAGCATAATAAGCATGCTTTACTGCATATACAGACTAGTTTTACTGTTGTGGGTTTAGTAACACTTTAAGTTCTGCTCTACGAAAAAAGAAGCCATTGCTGCTTGTCAAAATAACAATCTCTGTAGCCAGAGGAAATAATAGTGGAAACTTGTGGACAGTGTTATAATTGGGGACAACACTGTATATCATCACTTAAAGCTCATCCCAACTGTTAAGATGGATGGAGGGATTATAAAGAAGGGGGTTAAAATTGAAATATCCTCCTGCGCTCAACTATGAAATTACCTAATAAATAGTCAGCTGCTATCACCTATACCTCAGGATGTGAAAATGCAACAAATCAGTGTATATACACACAAATATAGGTGAATAAATATACATTAATAAGCAATAATTAAAACGTGAGACTCCAATCTTTTAAATAATATAGAGTGACGTGCTTAAAACAGCAACACACTGTGCAAAAACAAGTGCCTGGTCTGCCAATAAAAATATAAACACACCCAGGTTAAATGAAATATATACCCAAAATAGATATATATACATAAATAATATTAACG